TTTCTCTACACAATATAAAGAGTGGCTGAACACGACTGAAAAGAGTAGGTAAATCTTCAAAGCAGAGTCTTTCAACACTATGTAATGTAAAATGTTTTCATTTGGATTTTTTTTCTCACAATTACAGATCACAATTATTTTTCCCCCCACATATTGTATGACAAAAAACATTGAGAACATTATATTATACAGAGGTTTCAAATCGTAAAACTTAGGGTGATGGCTTGTGATCTCCATATACTTACCATACTTTGTGTCCTTAAAGGACTTTAATATAGAGACCCTGTGGTATTTTAGAAGACTTGTACATCGTTCAAATAATATTGTTCTAAAAAACATTGACAATAGTCATAATGTTTTAAACAACATTGACAGAACTGAAATGGCAAGAGTAAAAAAATTGTTGTGATTACATGCATTTGTATTTTGACCATTAAAATAGAGGATTTTGGCTCTTGAGATATTATCAAATTTGTCAATTTTCATTTTATAGCAAGACTTAAAACTGTTTGATGAGGTAGTTTTTACTTATTTTGTGATTGATTTAGTTTTCAGTAGAGATAATTACTTACTGAAAATGACTAACTGATCATTACTTTTGTTACCTGCATTCTCATGATGCATGGCCACTTTTATTTGAGCCACAAACAATAGTTGCTGAAAATTTAGAACTTAATGAGGTGTCATCTAGTGTGCTAAGGCTTTAGAGTTCAGTTTTGTGGATTTTATAGGATTACAAAACAGAACCTCTTTAAACTCCAGGCTTAGACCAGTTTTGACATTTTAGATATGGTTTGTCTTAGAGGGGGGCAACCATTAGTCGCTGCTTCAGCAGAATGATTTCAAAGAGGATAAAAACAGATACAGTATAATGGATGGACCCTAAACTCCTTAGACATTTTCAGTTATTAAAATCCATCTACAAATTCTTGTGCTTGAAAAGGTCAAATACAAATGGAGACAACAACATGATTCCTCTTGCCATTTACTTCCCATAGTGCAAAATTTATTGTTGGTAAGTGGAGTGCCCAAAATAATCTTTTACCCTTCAGCACCATCCCACCCCACCCCCTTTTTTTCTTTTCTGTTATATACATATATTACTTTGATTTATTGTAAGAAGGCTCCTCCTTTATCCAACATCATAGTGCTTTTGTTTTCAACAAAGGAACATCTTTGAAGAATAGAAAAAGTTCCCTTTCGATTGGGTACTAGCACTGCGTCCTCTAGAGGACACTATGGGGAATGCATCCGGCATGACCGGTGTCTGAATCACGTATCTAAAAGGGACAACTACATTGGCCGGCGACAACCTATGACGTCATTACTGGTGTGACCGTGAGTATCAAAGGGCACCTGAGGAACATGTCGTCCTCTTCTTTCTCTTCAAGATCCATTTGTTTGAAGTACATGTGAAGGAGCATGCATGTTTTGTTCTCAAGGGAGCTGATTGCGTGCATTGTGAAGATTTCTCAATAAAAAGCTCAGTTTGCGCCGTCCCTATTCTCGAAGGATATGGGATGTGCATTTGTGTGGAATGTATTTGACTAGGTATATGCATTCACGGGAGGAGTTAAACAAGAACTTTTCCTCTTTGGGCTCCTATTGTTGGCTCAAATATAGCTACTTCTCAATGTGTTGTTTCTAGTTAGAGGCAGAAAGAGTGTAGTAGTCAATATAATATCAATAATGGGGTTGTGGGAAGTTATGGCCTGTGCCACGTAGAGATTGTGATTGGTTTTTGCGGTGCGAGAGATGTGAGATCGCTCGTGGCAAACTTTGAAGGCAATTTCTGTCTTGACATAACTGTCCCGCTCCTTTGAGCCTTCTGTTTCCCATTTGATCTATACGGTGAGGCAAAGAGATCATAAGAGAAACCATATTCGGCCCGCATTTATCCTTTTATCACAATAGAATAAGTAAATGTGAAGGGATTGCATGAGCATGGAGATGTCAATGCCTCAATACTATTTTTCATTGGTTGAGGCCTCATTGAAGGCTCTGATCCTGCCAGTTAGATCTTTATGATACTACATCACTCCTGAATGGCAGGACATATGCCCCCTCCCCCTAGAGCTCCGTATAGACAGGACTATCAAGAAGTAAGTCTCTTTGTGAGCCTCCTTGGTGAAACCTAGAGCTTGATACAGGTAGTGTTAGAGTTCTCTTGAGAGCCTCAGAGGTTGTTCTTTTGGTGTAGGTGTGTCGAGTTGTGTAGGCTTCCTCTCATTTTAGAGAGTCGTTCTGTTGAGGCCCCTGATCCCTGGAGCTCTGCATAGGTAGTTTTTCAAGATGTGGGGCTTTTTATGAGCCTCCTTGGTAGATGGTCTTCAGTGTAGAGTGAAGTTAGCCCTCCTCTCATTTATGAGTAATTTTTTAGGCTTGCATTCTTAGAGCTCTGCACAGATAGTAACACAGGAAAGTCTGTACTGTCTTCAGAGTTAAGTGTCTGAAGTTATGTCTCTTCTTGTTATAAAGAGTAATTTTGGTAGGCCTCGGCTCTCCAGAGCTCTGCTTAGACAGTATTACCATACAGACAGTATGGCTCTGGGAACCTCTTTCGTGAGAATTTCTGGCGTAGAGTGTAGTTAGGTTTCCTCTCGTTTTAGAGGGTCATTTTTCGGAGGCCTCCACTCTCTTAGAGAGAGCTACGTACAGACAGTAGTACTGAAGTTGTAGTCTTTGAGTGCCTTCTCAGTTAACTGTTTTTAGGGCTGAGTGTCATTAGGCCTCCTCTCATTTGAGAGAGTCGTTTTGGTGAGGCCTCCTCTCCTAGAGCTCTGTAAAGACAGTAGCAATAAAGGTGTAGGCTCTTTGAGAAGCCTTCTTGGTCTGAGTGACAACAATGGGAGTGTTGTCTCTCATTCTAGAGAGTCGTCCTGCTGAGGCCTTAGCTCCCCAGGATTGCGCACAGACAGTGTTGTCAAAGTGTATGGCTCTTTGGAAATGAGGCTCTTTGATAAGACTGTCTCTGGCATAGAGTGTGGTTAGGCCTCCTCTCGGTTTAGAGAGTAGTTTTTGCTGAGGCTTCTGCTCTTTGAGCTCTGTTTAGCTTGTATGGTTAGCGCAGTAGTACTCCCCTTGCTTTTGAGGGTCGTAATGCAGAGTTCTTCGCTTCCTAGAGCTCTGTTCGACAGTTATATCAAGCTGAATGACTCTGTGAGCCTCCTTGATGAGCTGTTCTCAAGGTAGAGTCTGGCTAGTACTCCCCTCGCTTTAGAGGGTTGTTAGGCAGAGAACTCTGCACCCAAGAGCTCAGTGCACTTACATTAACAAGTTGTTAGGCTCTGAGAGCCTGAGCTTATATTGATGTATAGATCCTGGATAGCCCTCTTGGGCCGTGTAGAGTCTTTACTTTCCAGGATTGTCGTCTCTGGATTCTGGTGTGAAGTGATATTGTCTCTAATAATGAAATCCCTTCTCGTTGGGAGCCTCTGTGTTAGTGCTAAATCTAGAGATTCAGCTTAGGCAAAACCAGGTGCCCTTTTATACTCACGTCGCACTGGTAATGACATCATAGGCTGTCGCTGGTCAATGCAATTGTCGCGTTTAGATACTACGTGCTTCAGCCACCGGTCATGTCGGAAGCATTTCCCATTGTGTTCTCTAGAGGACGCAGTGTCTCGTTCCCCTTCTCAGGGAACCATGGTTACATGAGTAACCTGAGACGTTTTCTATTCTACCTTTCCCCTTCTCCATCCTTTACTTTTTCAGCACTCCTAAACAAGTTTACTGTACCATTAAAGGTTGGTAAGGGGCAGGAATGATATTTGATTAAATACAGAAAAAGTTAAATGAAATGATTTTTCTCTAAATTGCAGACACTGATTCAATAAGTGTCTTATCTACACAGGATAGAGCATTATAGTTGTGATCCACATTGACATCTGTTCTTTTATATTGATGTAAATACCTTTGCCAGCATAGGGACCTATACTCCACTGTATTCAGCACAGCTGAAACCTCAGCTGTATTCAGTACAAGTGAATATAGCCATGAACATGTATTATTTTGTTTTACCTTGACACTGATTTATTGATACCAGACTTTTAAGGCAGAGTTTATATAAGCAGAGAAGACATTTCTAAAAATAGCATTCATGTAAAATTATAGGTCATGGGAAACATTATCTTTACACAAATTACTATTTAATTACTGTGTGTGACACTCTAGACATGTGTGACATTATCTTTTTAAATAAGCTATTTTTGTTATTTTCGTTAAGATGATTTTGTCCATCGCATATGATGAAACACATTAATAGTGCTACAAGCACTATTAGATATGTTCCTTTTCTCCTTGTATAATAATTCCTAATAAAAATTCTTCCTTTCACTTCCCTTTTCATTTTGCTTTTTACAAAAAAAAGTAAAAAGAGGATCAAACTAGTTGTGAATGTGTACCTAGATTATTGAGAATGTCACACCATAGTGGTAGCAGCGTTAGTGGAGGGGTCGCATGTGTCTGCTGTCATTTCTTCAATGGATAACATTTGCTTTGAAGTACATTAAAAAGACATGGAGGAAACCTAGAATAAGTCTTAGTATGCTGGCACAAAATATTTTTCACAACTTGTGTGTGTGTGTGTGATCTTCCAGTGTGTCCTAACCAGCTAATTCAACAAGTTTCCAGCATCAAGTATTTTTTCTGTTCTCTCTAAATGTGGAATACTGCACAAATTAACAAAATATTGGCCAATGAGAATATATTTGCTGCAGAGCAGGATTTTGGACCTATGAATCTCTTTGAATGTGGCCAGAGCTACCCATCGCAATGCATCAAAAATGAAAACTATGCAACCAAGTCTTGTTGCGTGTAAGAATTGTTTGTAAAACAAACATTTAGATTCAAATTGAGAAATCGTATTAGGATTTATCCTGGACCGTTCTGCTGGACTTGCGAAAGAAACTACAAATGTGTTTTTGTTTTCTGTACATTTTGTAGTATTCTTTCCAAAGAATGTAAGGAAAATTTAAGGAAATTGTAGAGACATGCAGATTCTATGAACAGCCACAACGGTCCACCACCATTCCTGGGATTTTGCCATGGATTATCTGCTGTTTATCATTGAAGTAGAGCATGTTTATTGGCGACATCTTTGTGGGTGTGCAGCATGGCCCTGCTGAGCCTCTGGGATTAGCATGCTGCACCAGATGAGTATGTGGGTACTTCTGCATGAACATGTACTCACACTGGCCTGAGCAGTAGTTTGCCTTGTAACGTTTAGGTGCAATGATCCAGTCCCAGCCAAAAGCTTCAAAGTCAACTGTGAGTGGGTAGCGACAACAGCGGGATTCTGTGGAGTGTTCATCACAGTCAAGACCCAGATTCCTTCGTGATCGCTTGGTGGTTTCAAGAACCTTGACCTCCAGGAACGGCTGCTGGAGATTAGGGGAGGAAGAAGACATACAGAAATGGGTCAAGCCGCTGGGACAAAAAAATTGAAAGTTTTACATGAATGGTTGTAACTCCAAAACTTTTTTTGAAACGATTAATTTGAGTCAATTTAAATTCGAATCAGGTTTTATCAGGACTTTAGCCTCGTCAGCATTTGAATCAGTACTTTGCACCTTGTATAAACAGTCTCTCTTGTATTGAGTCTCAAATGTATGTCAATGACTGCTTTTGATCAGAACGTGTGATGATATTTAAGAACTATCACTGAACAATTACATTTCAGTCTTTTCCTCACACAATGGAAATATATGGCTTCAGAAGAATTTGAAAAACTGAGCAGGTGTATGGACAAATTTTATTGTGGTTTTTGTCTTTTTTAGAGTTTATTTATAAATCACCATCATCTCTTCTTGGATCCTTGTTATGGAAAATAGATGAATGAAATGAAATATACTTTATTGTCCCCAGTGGGAAAATTTGGTGTGGACTCAGTATTCAAAGTTTTAACATCACCTGTTACTCTTAAAATAATCCTAAAATACAGTACACCACAATACAGACACAGAACACCCTTATGGGGAAAAATCACTTGTCCTTATTTAACAATTTGATTGATACAGGCACAAACAAGTATTCTTCCAAAGAACATTTTTAAACTTCTGAAATAAGAAAACTAGTAGAATGATTAGGAATGCCAAAGCTGTCATTTATTTGCATGGATGATTGTTCGATGAACAAAAATGTTAAGATTACAACATTTTCTCTGAAACAGAAATCTCTATTTTTAATAGTCTAGCAGGTCTAAGGGTCCTTACCAGTCCTTCTTCTCCAGGCCGCAGAGACGTCACAGCCAGGTCGTTGCCACTCTCGTCATAGGCGTTTATATCAATGCCCCAGTTTGTATGGGGCTGCTTGAACCAGTTCTGCAACACATGTTTGAAATCAATGCTCTGCCAATGACCCGCTTGAGAATTGAGCTCGATCTTGAGTGACCGGATGCGGATGTGTCTGCTTCCTTGCTCAGTGATAGGTTTAAGGCGAAGGATCTGTAGGTAAACAGTGGAAGTTTGCTGTAGTGGCCGCAGATAAACCCACAGCTGGGCTTTCAGGACCTTGGTAAACATCAGTTTTGGACTGAACTTGAAGAAACAACAGCTGGGTTTCCCATCCACCTGCACCAGAGGTTCAGCTGAAGGAAACAAATAAAAATACCATTAATCACTGAACCCTTACGAAAAAGAAGTATACTTCAAGTTCATTTTATAAAGTATACTTAAATAATGTTCAAGTATATTTTTAAGTATAATTATGTAGTAGTAAGTATACTAATGTCAATATGTACTAGTAAACTTGTAAGTGTACTATTTTAATACCGCTTGGGACTAAATTGGCCCACTTTTAGTATATAAAAGTATGGGCCCTATCTTGCACCCGGCGCAAATTACTTTGTACACTGACGCATGTATCATTCCTATTTTGCACCCGCGCAAAGCGAACTTTTCCCTCCACAGACACACGTCGGTTAACTAAGAAATACACTTGCGCTCCCCGGGGCGGTTCAGCGCAAAGAGTAGGCGTGTTCCGGCGCAAACTTTCCCTCATGCTATTTTGCTGTTCTATAAAACAATTGTGCCACTGAGCAGAAAAAACCTAGTCTAAAGTCAGTGGCGCGTTGCGCGTTGTTCATTATGCTATTTTAAGGGCGCATGCTAGGCCATAATCAATGTAGCGTGTCCACAACACGCATACACTTTGATTCGCTCATCTAAGCAGCAGTTTTCATTTTTGCAAATCATACATTATTACGATAGATAGATAGATAGATAGATAGATAGATAGATAGATAGATAGATAGATAGATAGACAATTTATTATAAAAGCATACATGTAGCTTACACATTTACCCAAATTATCATACGCCTGTTTAACAGAAGTTAATTTGGGTGGGTTTCTCCATCCCCAATGTCACTTCTCTGTGTTTTACGGCCCTGACGAGAACGTTGCTCTCCTCGGCTGTGAACCGCTCCTGGCGCGCGCCTGGCAAATCCGCCGTTATAATAGGAATCCGCTTTAGAACAAGCGCGCCTGCTCTTAAAGGGAATGTGAGATGACGCTCTGATTGGTTTATTTCACGTTACGCCCAAACCACACCTATGAATAATGAAGCTACTTCAGACCAACCCCTTTTAGATTTGTGCCTGGTGCAAGAGTCTTTTATCCCGCCGGGAAAATAGCAACGGCGCCGGGATCCGCCCACAAAGTTACTTGCGCTTTGCGCTTTGACACTTGCGTTTCAGATCGTTAAAATAGGGCCCTATATGTTTAAGTGTACTATAAGTGTAACATTAGTAAACTTCAAGTGCACAACTAGTTCATAATTACGTTTCTCATTTGTACTGCAAGTGAACTTATGGGTATACTAGTAGTTTACTATTTTAATACTTGTAGCAAATTTTTAGTTTATGAAAGTACACTTTGAAGTATACTCTCAGTAAACTACTAGTTTTCTTTAAGTGAACTTAACATTATACTTATAGTTTACTATTTATATATTATTTTTGCACTTGCAGTAGGCCTATACTACTATGTTCAAATGTTATTTTTTATACTTGAAAAATACCTTTAACTGTTCTTTAATTTTAAAAACATTTTATTAGCTTCATGCATCCTCTTTTATCAACACTTGAATGTTGGTAAGTTTAATAAAGAATGGCAACATTTTAAACAAAAAAGTTGAAAAAAAATCTCATTTTTGTTAAAGACTACGCCTTGATCAGATTCAGAACGATGATCAAAACACAGATGGAGTAGATCGAGTCCAACACCCCCAAAGCTTCACAGTCGTTTTCTCTTCATGTGTAACGCTTCATTTCATTTGGTAACATTAAGCAGTTTTGATTTACACGCTGTTTAATGTTTGATGATCACGTTATTTTACATTTGAGTGAGCAACCTTCTATCACTTGTTTCAGCTTCTTCTTCTCCTGTGTTTTGATCCGGAGATTCTGTACTAGAAGATGTGTCATAGAGCCCCCTACCATATAACAGTGAAAACATGGATAGCTGGAAAATTCAGTCAATGGCGGGGAAAGTGTAAAGTAGAATTAAAGTAAATTCCTATGTACACCAGTGGACTAGCCTACACAAAAATTCAGATACTCAGAATTAGAAACTGCTTTATATCAATATTTTAATCAATATTTTCAAACAATGTAAGTTTCATAAGACTGTATATGAAAAACTATGTAAAAAAGTATATTTAATGGCTACTTTATCAAAAGAGTTAACACAGTGTACTTTGAATACTTAATTATACTTTTAAGTATATCTCTATCAAAAGATTGAGTACAAGTACTCAAATATACTTGGACTTTTCTCTCAGTATAAGTCAAGTACACTTAAGTGTAATTTTAAGTATATTTCTGTGAAATACATAAAGTATATTTCTGAGAAGTATATAAAATGTAGACTGAAAGTATGCTTTCTTATTTTTAGTTGAAAAGAAGTATACTAATATAACACTTGAATAAACTTATTTTTCGTAATGGATTATTAGCGCTGTGTACAAGATCAGGTTCAGTTCCATGCTTATTTTATTTACTCTATAAGCTATTCCACCTGAAAGCTTGTTATAAACTTGAACATGTTAGTTTATAAGACAGTGTGTAATATTATGTTTTAAAAAAAAAATTAATAAGCTACTCAATCAAAATAGTAAACACAAGTACAAGCCAAGAATACTTAATTATACTTTTAAGTATATTTCGATCAACAAGTATAGGCCAAATATACTTAGACTTTTTTGTCAGTATAAGTCAAGTATACTTAAGTGCAATTTGAAGTATATTTCTGAGAAGTACATAAAGTATATTTCTGAGAAGTAAATGGTAAATGGTAAATTGGCTGCATTTATATAGCGCTTTCACAGACCCAATGGCCACCAAAGCGCTTTACATATTGCCTCACATTCACCCATTCACTCACTCATTCATACACCGACGGTGCATAAAAAGTAGACTGAAAGTATACTTTCTTATTTTTAGTTTAAAAGAAGTATACTAATAGCACACTTGAATAAACTTCTTTTTCGTAAGGGACGTCAAACAGCATGATACCAAAAAATCTAAAAATCTAAAATAGAATAAAACAAAAATTTGAACAGCTAGGCCAAGTTATGTCCATTAAAGGCATGTAATGAAATCTGCACTTTTAACAGGATCTTGGCACAAAGTATCTAGTCCATTTCAGAAATAGTCCATCTACTGAGGACACGTTTGCCTTACAGTTGGCCTTTACAGGTGTCATTCAAAAGATAGCACACTTTTTGGATGGAAGAAAAAAGGATCAGGGAAAACAACTGCGAAATTTAAGATTAAATATAATGGTAACAATTTACAAGAAGGTCTCATTTGTTAAAGGTGCAATGTGTAATATTTCTGAGGATCTATTGATAGAAATGCAATATAAGATCCATAACTATGTGTTCAGTAGTGTATAAAGACCTTACTCAATGAACCGTTATGTTTTTATTACCTTAGAATGAGACATTTATATCTACATAACCACGGGCACCCCCTTCTATGAAGGTCGACATATTGTGACGTCATGTTTCTACCGTAGCCGACAGCGAACAAACAGCGCTACAGAGCGCATTTCGTTCATACCTTGAAAGAAAAGCCGCAGACAGCTAGAAGCTAGCCATAGACACCGTGAGTAGTGACTTTTCCCTTGTCAGTGGTGTAAAATATGTAGTTGGATTGTTTCATGTAACTTAGTTCTTCTCCCTCGCTGTGTTATGGCTTTGACAATCAGCTAATTAGTACTATTGACTGCAAAACAGTAACGTTACAGGAGTCACCAACCCGTCGATCGCGGTCGACAAGTCGATATTGGAAGCATTTTAAGTCGATCACGAAGAGTTTTCAAAACCAGAGAAAAAAACAATATTTTTATACATTATTATTTATTAATTTGTGTGTAGTAAATGGTGTCTAGGGGATGCGGAGACGCGCACGCTGTTACAATCACGTCATTTTTGCCGCGAGCACCTTTGCGCTCATGCGGACGCGTCGAGTATAAACAATGCTTTACGCTTTAACCAGCTCAGTCACAGCCCTACAGCATAAAAGCTCATATTAGCCAGCTAAACTTTTACAACCCTGTTAGAAAAAATATGTAGTTGGATAGTTTCATGTGGTTCTTCTCTCTCGCTGTATTATGGTTTTGCTATGTGGGGAGAAATGTGCTGGTTACGTTCGTGAGACAATCAGCTGATTACTATTATTATATTAAATATTAAGACCTTTGATCCTCACCTGACTATGGCTTTGTAAACTTTATCCATGATGTGGTTTATAATGGACTGTGGTACAGAAACTTGGCTTACTCTGGCTATTCTCTGCTGTCTCAGACGACGATATGTTTGTCCCGTTTTAGCAACCGTAGCTTCTTCGAAAGGGAGGGGTGAGCAGTGGGCTGTGCCATTAGTGCAACTCGCAACCGAACCGCTAGATGCTGCTAAAATCTACACACTGCACCTTTAATCAACTGCTCATTCAACTCTAAAGGCTCATTCACACCAAGGACAATAACTATAAAGATAACGATATAGTTGTTCTCAATATTAAAGAATATTCACACTACAGCTATAATGATAACAGCACAGAGAAACGACTTTTGGATTCACTTTTAGAACTATTTTATCCAGCTGATGAACGATAAAAACATTGACAGCCAATCAGAATCCATCCTGCTGTAACAAGCTCAAACATTTAAAGAGCCAGACAAGCACGTGCTTAGAATAAACAGTGGACGCTAATATAGTTATCTTTATAGTTATCATGGTTGGTGTGAACGGGCCTTAACAGTAGTTTAATTTGAAAAGTGCCATAGATATGGATGATATGAATATATAGTAGATATGGACAGCATCCATTCCAACAGTAGCTTGTTAACAGTTTTGGGAGTAATGCATTACAAAAGTAATCATATTACAGTAATATATCACTGTAAAGCATTTTGCTGTAAAGCAGTAATATAAAGCATTACTAATAACATTAAGTGGTTTATTTTTTTTTTTTACGAATTTGCCAACACCGCAAAACAAACATTCCAGCAGCAGAGAAAATGAATTCCGCGGGTAAAATACTATGTCTGTTTCCTGTTGCTGGAATTCAATTCAATGGTTGA